TCTATATTTGTAAATATGTTGATTTCTATTACAACACAGAATACAAAGTGCACAGTGCTCACTTCATATTATTATTTTTTATTACAAATATTTGCACAGTAAAAATGATAAACAAAAGAAATGGTATTTTTCAGTTCACCTCGTACAAATACTGTAGTGCAATCTCTTTGTGGTGAAAGTGCAATTTACAAATGTAGATTTTTTTTTGTTACATAACTGCACTCAAAAACAAAACAAGGTAAAACTTTAGCGCCTACAGGTTCACTCAGTCCCACTTCTTGTTTAGCCGATCGCTAAGACAAACAAAGTTTGGTTACAATTTGCAGGAGATAATGCTGCCCGCTTCTTGTTCACAATGTCACCTGAAAGTGAGAATAGGCATTTGCATGGCACTTTCGTAGCTGGCGTTGCAAGGTATTTACGTGCCAGATATACTAAACATTCGTATGCCCCTTCATGCTTCGGCCACCATTCCAGAGGACATGCTTCCATGCTAATGATGTTCGTTAAAAAAATAGTGTGTTAATTAAATTTGTGACTGCACTCCTTGGGGGAGAATTGTATGCCCCCTGCTCTGTTTTACCCGCATTCTGCCAGTCTCGGATGATGACCCAGCACAGTTCGTTTTAAGAACACTTTCACAGCAGATTTGACAAAACGTAAAGAAGGTACCAATGTGAGATTTCTAAGGATAGATAGAGCACTCGACCCCAGGTTTAAGAATCTGAAGTGCCTTCCAAAATCTGAGAGGGATGAGGTGTGGAGCTTGCTTTCAGAAGTCTTTAAAAAGCAACACTCCAATGCGGAAATTACAGAACCCAAACCACCACCAAAAAAAAAATTAAAAAAAAATCAACCTTCTGCTGGTGGCATCTGACTCAGATAATGAAAATGAAGATGTGTTGGTCCGCTCTGCTTTGGATTGTTATCAAGCAGAAGCCGTCGTCAGCATGGACGCGTGTCCCCTGGCATGGTGGCCGAAGCATGAAGGGGCATACGAATGTTTAGTATATCTGGCACGTAAATATCTTGCAACGCTGGCTACAACAGTGCCATGCAAATGCCTGTCCTCACTTTCAGGTGACATTGTAAACAAGAAGCGGGCAGCATTAGCTCCTGCAAATTGTAACCAAACTTTGTTTGTCTGAGTGATTGGCTGAAGGAGGACTGTGTGGACTTGTAGGCTCTAAAGTTTTACACTGTTATATTTTTAATGCAGTTTTTTTTGTACATAATTCTACATTTGTACTTTCACCTTTCCATGATAAAGAGATTGCACTACAGCACCTGTATTGGATAAATTGACAAATACTATTTCTTTCTTTTTTACTGTGAAAATATTTGTAATCAAAAATAAATAGAAAGTGAGCACTGTACACTTTGTATTCTGTGTTGTAATTGAAATCAATACATTTGAAAATGTAGAAAACATCCAAAAATGTTTAATGAAATGGTATTCTATTATTGTTTGAGAGTGTGATTAACTGCCTGATTAATCACGATTAATTTTTTTAATTGCTTGACAGCCCTAATAATAATAATTAATAATAATGTGACATCCAGCTCTAAGCATGAAGGCCAGTGTCTTGCCATCACTCATGGACATGAGTAAATTATTAACAAGAATGGACCTGTTGAACTATTCACATGCAATAAAGTTATTCACGTACATAAGTGCAGGCAGAATCAAGGCCTATGACAAAAATTGTCTGCCTTGCTTTTTGATTTGTCTAATACAAGGAATCTAGAAAGCTGAAAAAACCACTGTGCATCTAAATTAAAGAGACGGTAACAGATAAAACATTTCCTTTTTAACAAACTGTCCTTGCAGTCCTGACAACACCTTCGATTACTAAAACAGAAGACTCTTTGAAAAGCCAATTTGCTTTTTCATTATTTTTGCTGTACTTCTGCCTTTCTCGGTCACACAACAAAAACTGACTATTCAATTTCGTGTCTCTCCAATTTCAAGTTTTGTCCCTCCTGTGAATGCTGCAATGTTATAGGCTTTTTTCAGAGAAATATTAAATTAGCCTTATGTTTTGGGGAAAAAATCCTAAATTCAGGCCCAAATTAAAAGGTTATTTGGTGTCAATCTAGCAGAAGCCTAATTGCAGGATGATATATTCATCTGATAGCAGCTTGTAGCCAAGTGGGGTGGGGTTACGGGCCACGCAGCTCCACACTTCGAAAAGAATTCACATGAGCTCTGCCTCCAAGTGATTTCCAGATTCCAAGGTGGCCTGGAGAACAGAGAAGTCAGTTTACGCATGGTAAACATGACAACTCTCGATGCTTTCCTTCTGCCACTGCATCTGATCTACCTTGCTGAGACAGCACTGCTGGAAGGAACACCGGCTGTGAGCCACAGGGTGCTACCAACTCAGCTAAATAAGCAGGACTGTCCAAGGATGCAGTTCTCCGCTCTGCTTTCGGTGTCGGTGAAAACCACCAGCTGTGCTGGGAGAAAGACACCCCAAGGAGGTCTTGAACTCAGATCTTCAATGCTGCAAGTGTCTCAGCTCACTGTTAACATGGAGCCATTTGTCTTTTTAGGTGTATACATTTTTATTTTCTAAAACACTTCAATTCACCTTGACTGTAAGAGTCAATGAAAAAACAGCACAGCATGGCTGGAGCAGTTGGCTGGCATATTTTATACACATTCACACATAGGTTACTTTTCTAACTACCAGCCCTGAAAACTCAGCTCAGGCTCTACAAGACAATCTGGGTTCTTTCCTTCTCACACGTCATCAGCTGTAGTAAGCATTCTGCAATGTAGTAAGCATTCTGCCTGTGCCACCCCAGAATCCTGTTAAAAGGAGAGAGTGTTTGACAGCTGGCAGCGTCCTCTGCTTGTCAAGGACTGAAATAAAATTCATGGGGATGGTAAGAGATGAATGGGAACAGAAGACTGTGCTGGGGCCTAACTATGGACTTCAGCAGGCATTGACGGCATGGCTCCTAGTAGGAAGCCCTCAGCACCTCGCAAGGTCAACCCTGAGGAGTGCAGCTCAGTAAATCTAAATTCAGTGAGGTCTGCTCAGGGACCAGCTGGGCACCACAAAGAAGGCAGCAGAGTTAAAAACAGACCGTCAGGAAAACTAACTGCTTTAATTACATCTGGTCAGGTGCATGCTGGGATCTCAGAAATAAAAGAAGCAGTTGGTGCAATGACAAAATAAATGAAAATAAAGCCAATTAGTTAAAATAGTAAAGGACGTTTCAAACATTTTGCCAGTGCATCATCACTGGCTGAACCACGAAAGAGTGGCCAGCAGGAAGACCACAAAAGTGTGTGTGTGTGTGTGTGTGTTTTCTATTACAATAGCACCTACAGGCCTCAAAATCAGGGACCCATTCTTCTACACACTGTACAAATACATTGTGAGAGACAGTCCCTGGTGGTGTTTATTAATCAACCCATGTGGAAAACAGATAAAAATGAAACCCACATAGATCACAGAACTGCAGGGCTTACAAGATGTGGCCCCCATGCTCTGCCTTTCTCCCTGCTCCAACAAAACAAGCCAGACTTCATCATTTTCTTGCTAAATACTGCGACAGAATGTTTTGCATTTGCAGGCAGCTGACCTCCACAAGCACACATGGTGAAAAGGGTCCGGCTGCTGCCAGCGACTAATCAGTTTCAGATTGTTCTCTGTATTGCCAAACAGGAGGGACCGCTGCACGCTAGGATATGTCCTTTTCATTCTATTTTCGTGTTGTGTCTTCAATATGACCCATCCTCACCCGCTTGTACAGCAGAAGAGTGCAGTTGTTGAAGGCTCTTCTGCTTGAAATGGAGATGAAAATTAGAGTTACACCCCGTGCCACTGGACGCGTGGCCAGGAATCAACATGTCCAATTTCCCTGCGCACACCCTCATCCAAAGGAGAGAATTAAAGCAAATCAGTTTGCATTTCAGATAATGCAGAGAATACTGGTGGAGCTGCTGAAGCAGCTGCGGTGTGCATTTTGTGGCCCTTTTAGCTACCATCATTTTAATACTGGGTGCGTCCTCTATCAAATATATCTTGCTGGGTTTAGTGCATCTTTCCTTTCCACCTAATTTCTACTATTCTAAGTGATCTTGGGGATCTGGAAAACTGATGTATTTAAATTTATTGAAACAAAAATAGTAAAGTACATTACTTTACAAAGCTCATTATTTAGGTTCTCCATTTCATAACAACAGTGATTACTTACAATGCCTTTCCTCGAAGGATCTCAAAACACATTACAAACGTAAATGAATTAAGCCTTTTAACCTTTCTGCTCCCTCCTGCTCACTTACTAGAGTTGGTTGAAAATGTTCAGATAAAGGGACTTTTGGTGTGTGCGAATTTGCTCGTGTTTGTGATTTACTGTGCCCCTTTTTTCACCAGGTCGAATTAATTTCCCCGCTCTATGGACGGGGAAACTGAGGCACGAGGTGGGGGGGTTAAGTGATTTGCCTAGGGCTACCTCTGTGGCAGAGCTAGAACACAAAGTAAAGGAGACTGTGCAGGATTATTATTTTTCTAAATAAAAAACAGTTAAGATTTAATAACAACAAACACCCCACACACACATTTCGTGTTTGCTGCAGAGGGCTGAAAGTTGGCGAAATCGCGCGTGCCACAGGCCTGCCGTCCTGCAGCGCAGCGCAGCGCAGCGACCGCAAGCGTCCGGGCAGCCCCACTGCGCAGGGCAGCCGCGCTCAGGGACCGTTTACACGCCGGGAACCGGCAGACCCAGCACCGGGCGAGAAGGAACCCAGCCGGGGTGCCACGGGCGGGAGGGACCCTCCGCGGCAGCGGGGCCGGGGCTCCCCGACACCAGCCCCGGAGAGGATCCGGAGGGGAGACAAGCCCCCCACCCGCCGCGACGCCCCGCTGGGCAAAGGGGAGTCGATCCGGAGTCCCGGACCTGCTGCTGCTGCGCTTGCACATCTGGCGCGGCAGGACCCCCCACCTCTGGCCCTGCAGGACCCCCCCCCGGCCCGATTCACTCACCTTCCCCGGGGCGCCAGGGACCGCGCAGCCGGCGGGTCCCGCACCCAGCGAACCCGGAGCGCCGCCGCCGCCGCTTCTTCACTTGTCCTTACGGCGCCTTCCCAGCGCCCCGCGCCCCGCCCACCGCGGGGCTGATTGGCCCGGCCTCCCCCAGTGACGTCTCATTATGCAAATGAAGGAGGATTTCCTTCCCGGCGGCAGGAGAGGCGGAAGCTTGGGGAGGGGAGGGGAGGGGGGAGGAGCTTTCCTGGCAGCTGGGAGTCTGGATTGCCCCACGAGCGCTCCAGATGAGCCAGATGTGCCGGGAAAGGGGGGCAGGGGTGCGGGGAAATGGCTCCCTCCCAGACGGACCAGCCCGAGCAGGGAAATGCTGCCCTGCCAGATGTGCAAAGGGCAGAGTGGTAAGGGGGGGGATCATGCCCTTCCAGACGTGCAGCGCCAAAGGGGCAAGTTCTGCCCTTCCAGATGTGGCAGATGGGCAGCAGAAGAAGGGAGATTCTGTCCTTACGAATGGGCTAGCCTGGGGCGGGAGGGGGGGGGTTCTTTCTTTCCCGGTGTTCAAAAGAAAAAAAAAAAGAGCGAGACTTTTTCTCTTCCAGATGCTCCAGCTGTTCCGCAGCAGGGAGGGGATTCTGCCCTTCCCGGTGGTCTTGCATTCACACAGCTGGAGGATGGGAAGACTACTGTTGAGGCATCAGGGATGGCGGGGAGGTGGGGAAGGGGCTTCTGTGTTCTCTGTCCCTTCATCCCTAGCCCGCTGCCTGTCTCATACACACCCCTTCAACCATCTGGAGTGACAGAGCCGGAGAAGTCAGGCTGGAACTATGTGTAAGAGGGAGATTTTAAGTATCTTCTTGAAAACACCCTGCAAAAAAATCCATCCCCACAATTCTTTTAAGCTGCCTTAAAATGAATGCAAATAGGGAAGGCTTCACAGATCTGCCAGGCATCTCAAGCTGGTGCCCTTGGGCCGGGTGGGTTGAGGGGCAGACGTGCCTGCTGGACGCACAAGAGCACCTCAAAGGGACAAAGGACAGGCACGCTGCTAGGAGGCTTTAGAGCCATACTAGGGGGACGGAGTCTCTCGCGGCAGCAACAGAGAGGGAGGGGGAAGGGAACCCAGGATCATGGTGACTCTTCTCCCAGAGCTAATGCTTGGAGAACAGGTCAGGCTTATAATAAAGACCCTGGCAAGTTAGTTACTTGCTTTTGCCATTTCATGGATTCCAAGGCCAGGAGGGACCATTGTGATCATCTAGTCTGACCTCCTGTAGAACACCAGCCAGAGAACTTCCCTGACATAATTCCTCTAGAGTGCATTTTATCTTCTGCAGCAACAGCCCCAGCAGATGAACATGTGGGCATGAACATGTGGGCAGTGGAGGTCACTGCTTCATCCACCAGTGTGCCACCCATCCCATAAAAACAGAGCTGTCCCGAACCACTCCATCTCATCTTCAGCTTCACTCACAGCAGCCCATGGATTAATAAATGGCAAGTATGCAAATGCCTGAGCAGTGTGAGCACACCTGGCCTTTTACACATCATTCACGGGCACGCTCAGAAGTCATGCACCCTTTTATTATAATTACTAGATTTTTGCAGACTCCCATTGCAAACTGTTGGGCCCATGTAACTAAACACAAGGGGAACACTAGTAACCACAAGTTAGGGAAATCTTACAGTATCGCCCAAATGGGGGTCGAAGGATGTCATGCTTTCAGGTGGTGTGTTCACATTCCTTATGGTAAGGTGGATGCATCCCCCTAGGAGAAAAGGAGAAGTGGGAGTCAGCTTCTGGGATGAATTCACCCACCATGCTCTGCGAGAGGCTTCTATGAGCAAATGGGACCCGCTTGCAGCAAAGTATGACATGCACGCTGCAGAGTAGTCCCAATGACCCTGCTGGGGTAGATGGCCTCTTTGTTGAGACTCTGTGATTCAGAGATCTCCATTGCAGGTCTCTCAGCCGTGGGAGGAAGCAGTTCTTCAAAAGGAACATGCCACAGACAGACGTAAAGGAAAGGCCGCCTTCTTACTCCTGAATTGAAAGGACCCTCTGGTTTGTAGGGCCCTGTGGAGAAGATGATGGGTTGCACATGACATCAGGATCAGGGTGCCCTCTACTGTCTGAATTTACTTCCCTAACTTTAACTGTTGCAGTGAGTCAAGTATCAGAGGGTAGCCGTGTTAGTCAGGATCAACAAAACCAATGAGGAGGCCTGTGGCACCTTAAAGACTAACAGATTTATTGGGTATAAGCTTTCGTGGGTAAAGTGGGTTTTTTACCCACAAAAGCTTATGCCCAAATAAATCTTTTAGTCTTTAAGGTGCCACCGGGTTCCTCCTTGTTTTTGTTGCAGTGAAGTGACACTACAGTAGAAAGTGTGTCTAAAATCCGAGCCAGGAAAAACTCCAAGGTTCCACTTGACAGGCATTCATGAGAACAGTTTCTTTGGGATCTGATCCATGCACATATAAAGAATGTATATAAATAACGTACATATTTTGCGGTTATCCCTCTCTCTTCTCCACCATCTCTATGTCATCTGTCCTGAGGTCCTGGGGGGAAAATGGAACTAAAAAGCCAAGGTCCAATTATCACCCTGAACACTTTGCTTTTATGTTGTATCCCACTCATCTTCCCATTGTCTGCTTAGATTGCAAGGTTCTCTAGGCAGGGACTGTCTTTTACTTTGGTTTGTACAGAGCCTAGTAATTAATCTTAGGGAAGAGCTTTGGTACTGCAGTAATACTAATGTTTGATCTCTCTCTCTCTCTCTCTCTCTCACACACACACACACACAGTTTCACTCAGCACCTGAGGTTCAAACAACTCCAAAATCTTAAAGCTATAACTTCATCAAAATTACTTAGGCCTTGGCAGCAAAATGAAGAATTTCCCCCTGATCTTGATGCAATTCAGCATCAGGCTCACTTGAAAGGTTCATGAACATGAGCAAACCTTTCAGGGAGTATGAGCCAATAATAAAGCCAGTACTGAAATCCCAAACCAGGCCTGTCCGTTGTGGTTTCACAGCAAACATTCCATACAGCTGCTGTCTGTAGATTAAAAATGCTTGCAACTAATGACATGGGAATAATATTGCTCACCTAGACTCACGGATGTTGTGAGGATTAATTAATATTGCCAGTTTTCTTCGCTGCCTGCCCTATGCTGTTGGATAGTGTTGCACTGTTAAACACCTGTAGGGGTTACACCCCAAAGGTGACTGCACTTCAGTATGAAGAGCAGTTAATTGAATACATAGTTTGAAATGATTGGGAAGAAAGGAACCGTATAAAAGATGTTAATTACTATTAATTATTATTATTGTTGTTGTATTATTCACTCAGGCTGAAGTACAGCAGCTGTTTAGCAGCAACCAGCAAGAACACTGTGCAACAGTGAGGAATGATGGTGTGAAGAGTATTGTATCCAAATGAAACCACAGAGGGAATTAAAATAGACAGAAAAAAAGGCACTGGGATTAATCCAAAACACTGGGGTTAGTACTACAACTGCTGGGAGAAGTTCCATGAATCTTTAAGGAGCCAGACCTTGGTTTTGTGGCTCCTGTCCTGTTCCTGTGGCTCTCCTTTAAGATTCCTGCACATGGTTTCCCCATTTTGTTTCCAATGATTCTGACACAGTGAGTCCAAGGCTGTTTTATAATCCTCAGAAGACATGTTCTTGCTTGTTACTGTCCTCGTACTCACCTAAACCACTATTCCTCCCTCCTGATCCAGGAAGCAAATGCTAGAGTACATGAAATTGTAGTCTGTGGAATTATAAATTAAGGTGTTGGATACATTTCACAGCAACTCTGTCCCTGGGAAGAGCAGTAACCTGACTTCCAGCTAAAGTACAAGACATTAGAATAGACTTGGCAAGGGTGAGATATCTTTCTACACACATGAGTACTAGGTCCTTCCACCAGCTTAATATGGAGAAGTTAAATAGGCAGACACGGGTTTGCACAGCGGCTGAGCATTTTAGATTTATGCCATATTACAGAGAGGAGCCCTTGTAAGGTTCTTGTAGATACATGTTCTTTCCAGGCAGACCATTTTATTGCACAAGGTGTTGTAACTAGGGGCAGGCGGATGAGGGCATGTTCTGGTTAGGGTCAGTCTGATGCTGGGGCTCAGATTATAGGAAGACTCTGGGCTCAGATTCATGTTACAATGTGCCATAGAATTGTTAGATTTTCCCTTGCCCCAAAGTCAGCTGATTTTGGACAATTTCTGCCATCATGGGCCACATCCAAACCAAATCTGAAATCAGGCCACTTCTGGGTTTAACTCAGGCACCAACCCAAGACATAACGTGAGACCCTAGAAAACTGAGAGTGAGAAGGATCAGATTTGTGGTTCCATTTGGGTCCATCTCTATTGGTCCTCAAGGAGCAAGAGGAGAGTTGCTGTAAATCTCCATGGTCTAAGTAGTCACAGGTTCTCCACTCCCTGTCCAATTGTGAATGGTAGGTTTGATTATGTGGATACCTTCCAAGAAGGAATTGGACTCCACCCTCCAGACTGCTCTATTATATCACCTAACTGCCCACATATTATACAAATCCATTCATACAAATCTGGATCACATTTAAATTTGAGATCTAAAGGATCAAATCTTCGCAGCCCACCAATAATTTTGACCACCCATACTCACATTTTGAATGAAATCCATCAATATAAGCCATTTTAATTCCACTTTTCTGCCAAAATAACGCATAGAAAACTGATCCCCACTCTGTTGCCAGTCAGACCAGAAATTAAAATGTACCAGATGTTATAAATGTTGTCTAATCTGGAGTTTTCAATTAAACCCATCCTAAGAACATAAGAACGACCATATTGGGTCAGACCCAAGGTCCATCTAGCCCAGTGTCCTGTCTTTCGAAAGAAGCCAATGCCAGGTGCTCCAGAGGGAATGAACAGAACAGGTCATCATCAAGTGAACCTTTCTCTGTCGCCTGTTAGGGGGCTTATTCCTTCACCCACTTACTTCCCTGGTCCTTCTCGCATGAACAGAGAGCAACAATACCTGAAGTCCAAAGGTGCAAACAATTCGATGTTTATTGGGGTGAACTTCCAACAAGCATGATTCCAGTTTCCTTCCTTAGTGTC